TACTCTATTCTATTCTATTCCATTCTATTCGATTCGATTCAATTTGTTTCGATTCAATTCGATTATTTCTATTCTATTCTATTCTATTCATTCAGGTAGGAGACCTAGGGTTCTGCCTGTGCTGTTGAACTCCATGTACAACAAGGATTTATGTCAAAGGCAATCTTAAATTCCTAGAGAAAAATTTGAAAGATTATTCCAATTCTTGGGTTTTGGATTGGGGGGAGGGAGGTATTTGAGTTTTCTTTGAAAGTGAGGAAGAACTAGTCCATCTGCTAATCAACAAGACATAGTTATTTAACTAATTGCCTTCTGTTAGAAAAACAACTTGATATGAAAAGCCCAAGGATGAGGGGAACTGGGAGTAGGATTCCATAACTTGAGAATGTAACACTAAACTCTTTCCATTTGGATGAACATAAAAACTGGGGTGTCTTAGTTTAACAAGATTACAACTTAGAAATTAAGAAACTTCAGGTGGAACTGTGGAAAAGGAAAAGAACAGGTTTTTATTAACAAAATCTGAATAAACAACAAATGGTGCAATCAAAAACTTTTAGAAGAAACAAAACAGAGTCCCAGTTCCCCAGAAGATGGGGCAGGAAGGGGAATGCACGGCAATCAGGAGCAGGAGGAAAGGGAGTGGGGAAGGCAGGACTGTCCCAGCAGTTCAACAGCTGCTCGTAGCCATGTGCACCCGCACCAGCCAGCAGCCAACGGCTTCACAGCAAGCTATGAAGGAGTCCTTTTTCCCACAGGCAGTCCCAAAAGCAGAATACCTTGCTCTGAGATGGTATTCTCTCTCTCTCAGTCATCCTCCGCGAGGTGTCCCGTGGGGAAAAAAAACACTTCCTCTCAGGAAAAGAAAAGGAGGCAGACGAAACCAGGCAACCCCTCCCCCCGCCCTCTGTTGGGTCTGCTGGCAAAACCAAAAATCTCTGAACAAAAGACTCCCCAGACATGCCTCCACCAACCATGCTTCCTGGGAACCTCCCCCTTCCCCCACTCCCACGCTGCCCAACGCGCGGGGCTTCACTCTGTCCCCCCAACTCCCTGCATTCTGGAAAAAAACAGATGGGGGAAATGGGGGAGGACAGAAACAGGACCCTAGGGAAAAAATTCCAACATCTCTTTTCCAGCCTATGACATGGGGGAAGAAATCAGTGATTTCTACTGACAACTTTTCTTTATACCCATTTTCTCAAAAGGTTTCTTAAACATGAAGTAACTGCTGATGAAACAAAGTGGTCTCTGTCTCTACTTTCTGGGACTTACTACAAGTTCACAGAAAAGATAGAAATTCTTAATAATTTATGCAAACCCCCCAAATAATTTAGAAAGGAATGTGAAAGAGCTATGCTTAGATCCTGTGCAAAACAAAAACGTTTGTAAAAATGCAAAAGAGCAAAGAAACAAAATTTTATTTCCTACTATATTATTAGTATTCTTGGCAAAACTAGAACCTTGACTTCCAATTGCTACAACTCCTTTGGTCTAACACATAAACCAGAAACAATCTACATACTACTCCGTAGCCGGGAACTACATTATCATTTTGAAGTATATTGTTTCACCATTAAACAAAATATTTAAGTGTATGCTTGCATGGGAGAGGAAACTCCCTTTTGTTCTTTACCACAGCATGATGGTTGTTCTCTTCTCCATCTAGAATTTGAGTGTTGGGTTTTTGTAATTTCTCTCTTTACACTTTGTTTCTACTCAAGTTATAAGGAGATACAGACACTGTAGCTGAGTCTATTGGTCAGCCTTAGGTTTGTACAGCTATAAGACATTGCAAAGATGTGAATGTGAAGAATTCTTGAAAACAAGATTTCAGACAGGTTTGACATGCAACAGGCTTGTTGCTTTCAGCAAATGCTTTCAGTATTTTTCATGCATATATACAGTCCGGCAAAAAGACTATGCATGTCCTAACACTGGAGCAATCAGAAACCTATTAACACTCAGTAACTGTTGTCAATTGATTCTTAAAGCTTTTCTGTGCATCTTTTGAGGTTTTCCATCTTTCATCTTCCTTTTCCTGCTTCCTAAGTTTTGACTAATTGTCACTTTTATAATTTTGACTTTTTAACCTGAAGTGTAACATTTGCAACAAGTATGTACATGTAAGTTAGATACAAAAACTAAACCTCCCATTTGCACTTTACTATTCCAAATACTCATTTTTCTTCTTGCCTGGTACCCATTAGAGGTGAAAATAGAACTCAAGAGTGAAATTTTTGTCGCAATGTTTATAATGTATGCTTTGTCAAAATATTATTTTCAAGGTCATTCATAATAAATGAATAATAAAATTTGAGCAGGTGCAGTAACAGATTGATTCAATTTTTGTTTAGTAGATCCAGCACAATTGCTGTCAAACACAGCAAAAATATCCCACTACATTTTCAATTTTAATTAATTTGGTCATTAAATAATTAAAAATATGATCAGGTTTTCAATTAAAAATATGACTATGCTGACTAAAACAATATAAATAGCTACTTCATGAAGAATTAGAAAGTAAAAGGCTTCAATTATTTTCTTAACACAAGCAGTGGCATACATTAAAACAATATATCACACAAAAGGATTTACATCTGTTTAAACAATTTAACAATCTAGCAAACATAGCAGTAAAAAATAAAAACAAAAAACCAAAACCAAAATCAACCAACCAAACAAAAAAACTAAATCCCCAGACTGTTTTTGTGATATGGTAAATAGAGACCTGTTCAATGCTTTCAGCAACTAATAGTGAAGTATGTGTTCAGTATCTCTCTCAGAAAACTTGTAGAATTGGCACATCAAGTAACCTATTAAACAGCAATTTGCCTATAAGGCATGAATGCAGTACTTTCATCAAGAATTGTTCTGATTTTTTCGTTCAATCCTTCACCTTTCATTTCAAGAGTAGAAGGCCCATTGATCTGCCTAAAGGCCAGGGGAAGTCAGGCTTGAATATAAGCAGATGAATGCAAAGGACATCCATCAACCCCCCAACTCACAAGTTTAAACAAAGTTACTGCTAAAATTTCTATCATACTCTGAGTCATGCAATAAAAAAACCAGCAGACAGTTGCTACAAAGCATCGAATAGAGACTAAGTCAGAAAGATCACCTATTTTCATTTCCACTGAGTATGGATTGCCTTTGCCAAACGGTAGTAGAAGACAAAGCAAGGTGCAAGTCCTTGGCTTCTACACAACATGAACTGAAAAGGACTGTTGTGTGTCTTCTCAATAAATACCTTCCCTTTTTTGGCTGCTCTGCCAAGAGAGTAGACATTTCTGCCAGTTCACATTCTAAGTATGTGTTTTCCTGAGTCCTTGTACTTCTGGAATCGCACACATCAGTAAATACTAGCAGCAACGCCTGCTGTCCATTATGCAGGCAACACAGAGCAGAGGGAGATAAAACAATGTGAATGTAATGCTTATCAAGATGCCCTTAGATGTTGCACACAGACATTTTCCTTCTCTGCAAAAACATCATGTACTCTGCCCTCCCACAAAATAGTACCACCCACAAAATAACACATCTGAGCATACATATGTACATCCTGCATGCTCAAGGCTGAATTCAATATGATTTATTGTAATTGCTCCTCCTGTTATGACTTGATGTTATAGAAGCATATTTACAGCATCTCACCTTCCTATGCTTCCTGAATGTCAGAGGAGATGACACTGAAATTTCCTTCTCTTCAATGACAAATACTAGAAATAAAATAGCTTTATATTAAGGAATTGTCCTTAAAAACCAAGACCAAACCAAAACAAAACCCCATATTTAAAAAAAAAGTAAATGCTCTTACAATAGGAAATAATTGTACAAGTAGGCAATATACTTGTTTATCTTGAAAATTTCAGAAGCAACATTTACAGAATCTTAGCCTCTGTTCTAGATTAGTTTTTAGACCAGCATACTTAAGATCGTGTTTGTAATCAAGGGGAGCCCAAAATACTAAAGTACTATGAGGAAAGCTGTCCAAAGCAGTTGTAAAACGGAGTTCTACAGTATGACATCAAATACTTAAAGAACTGACTACACTCCAAGACAACTGGAATCTCAGTGGAACAGAGACAAGTGGAAACAAAGGTACTAAAATGGACAAATCATATCCAAGGTAACACTGTAATTTTATGTAGGTCAAATAAATCATTAATTCAGATGGAACTCAAATTTCACGGATGGATAAAGTAATGTAATTAGAGGAACATATTAATCTCTAGAGTCAGTCCCCTGAAGTAAAGTAAGATAAGAAAAATCTTAGTTTATTTTGGAGAGAATCAGTAGCAGCTGAAGCTACACAACAAGATTAGCTCAGATACTTAGAGCATGGTGCTAACATGGCCAAGGCTGTAGGTTTGATTCTCTGTGTGGGCCATTCACTTAACAGTTGGACTTAACAATTCTTGTGGGTCCTCTCCAGTTTAGAATGTTCTGTAATTCTTGTCTGTAACTCTGTACTGCATTTGATAAAATCAGCAAACTTATGCTCCCTTTCCCAAGAAATCAGTAGAGGAGGCCTCTGTTCAAAATCCTCACCTATTCACAATTCCAGTCAATGGGAGAGGCAGAGAGTTTTCACATTCCCCAATATTCACATTAATTCTGTAGACTTGGGGGCCTTTTTTTTTTTTTTTGATCCTTCCTTTGTTAAAACACATCCAAAGAAATCATAAATTCTGCTCCTTCAGAGAACATGCTCTATTCCAGCAGAAGGGACACAATACATATTTTGCAATCTTCCCATTGTTATGGCTATATGAATTTGCTTTTATTTTACTTACTACAGAAAATGGGGGGAGAGAAAGGTGGGAAGGAGGGCAGGAGCAGGAAGGATATTAGCTGATTTTTAGAATGACGCATTTATTTCTTGGAGAAACGGCGGTATATGAACTCAGCATTGGCCCTCAACTAATATGCACTGATGCAACACCATACAGTAAGGTAAAGAGTTGGAGAAGTTACTCTTCCTATTTCTGATGTTGCAGAGGGAAAATTGGATGAGCAGTTGGCAGAACTGGAAAAAAGAAGCTAAACAAAGGTAACACTCCCCCCTTACATCCACTCTTCCTGATGAAAGTCTTCAGTTTTAATATCTTTTCTAAGGTTGTGAAATACACTCTCTTGGAATCTTAACTAGTAAATTTTCTTTAGCAATATCCATATTAAGCAATGCAATCAAATTTATGTTGTATTTTAACATATATATGCAGGTATGTAGTAATTCTAATGGGAATAGCATCTGGGTAGAACAGTAATTAAATGTAGAGTTTAAAATTCAGCTCTTAACAATTAGTGTTATTGAATCAGCTTCTGCACAGGAAATTCCTAGAAGAAAAATCTTTCTTTATATGATGAGCTGTGGTCTCATGTCTCTGGTGGTCAGTCATAACTAGTTCATTCCACTGATAATTCATAAGCCTGCGATTTTATAAAATATTTCATTTTCACAAAATTGTACTACAGAAAGATCACAGACCAACATATAAGAATTTGAATATTTGTGAATACTTCATATGTGTCATATACTTATTATATTAGATGAGACAATCTAATTTGTAACACTTTCTATATATTAGCTCTTCATTCACACTCCAATCAATTTGTGTCTTATTTGAAATTATATTTTATTTCTGCCTTTTCTTTTACCTACCTGAATAATCTTAGTAAACTAATTACATATTTTCTTGTTGCTGTTGTGTCACAATTTCATACTTGAATAAATTTATGTTCAAAATCCCTTTATGTTGCATGGATCTTTATCTATCACCATGTTAGAAATAAGGAACAAAGGGGCAAAAATTGCAACTATGCCCTTAAAAGAGCCTATGTGTGTCAAAGACTTCCAAATTTGTAGAGAGATTTACTGGAAAAGAAGCAGGTATTTATAAATTATTGCAATATGCAGAATCTTCTTGCTTACGTTATAAAAACAAATTTGGTAATGTGAAAGCTAAGATCACATAATAAAGACAGAAATAATGTTTTCAAATATTGAAAGTACTTTATTTTTAGTAACAATCACTTCCAAAGTGAAATGAATCTTACCTAACAGATCAATTTCTGTAGCAGCTAAACCAAGGGAAAACCCAGAATCCACCAAGTGTCTTGCTTTCACGGAATATTAAATTGATATAAATGAACACTATTTCACAACCAACAAGTTCTTATCAAGAGTTTAGATATCGCTAAATACATCAGTAAATGTATAAAAAGTCTGAAGGCTATTTCAGTTTAAATTATAGAAGATACATTGGTAGCCAAGGATGCCAATGACAAGAACTTTTTCCAGTACATCAGTAACAAAAGTAAAAGAAGGTATAATGTAAGCTTGTTACTAAATGGAGGGGGAAGAACTGTGGTAAGAGGATGAAAAGAAGGCAAAGCTACTGAGTGCCGCCTTCGCATTACTCTTCATTGACAATACCAGCACTAAGGTTTTGATCTGGGTCTCTCTGACCCATGAGACCAGGGCAAAGGAATGCTGAAATAAAGATTTTGCCCTGCTTGAGGAGTATTGCATCAGAGAACACGTGAGCAAACTTGTCATCCACAAGTCCTTGGGCTGTGATGGGATGCAGCCACAAATGCTGAGAGAGCCGATGGACACCATAGCGAGGCTGCTCATGATCACCTTTGAAAGGTCATGGTGATCAGGAGAGGTGCCTGAGGACAGGACAAAAGCAAATGTCATCCCAATCTTCAAAAAGGGCATGGGGGAGGACTGAGGTGACTAATGTTAGTCAACCTCATCTCAATCTCTGGAAAGGTGATGGAGTACCTGGTTCTGGAGGTCACCATTGTCCACATGGATGACAAGAAGATGATCAGGAGTAGTCAGCGTGGATTCACTAAAGGTAAATCAACCTTCAAAGTTGCCTTTGATGAAGAAACAACCCAGTTGCCTTTGGTGAAGAAACAACTACCTAGATGGATAAGGGGAGAGCAGTGAATATTGTCTACCTCTACTTCAGCAAGACTTTCAACACTTTCTCTCATGACATCTACAGAGGCAAACTCAGGAAGTGTGGACTGTATGAGTGGACAGAGACATGGATTGAGAACTGAATGGTAGATCCCAGAGGGTCCTAATCAGTTGTATAGGGTCTAGCTGGAGATTTCTCACTAATGGTGTCCCCCAAGGTTTGATACTTGACTTGGATGAAGGGACAGATGACTCGTTAGACATCCTTGGTGTTGTGACACTTCCCTGGGGAGCCTGTTCCAGCACCCAACCACCCTATGCATCAAGAAACAAATTCTAATATTCAACCTAAACCTCCCCTGACTCAAATCCAAGCCATTCCTTTGGGTTCTGTCATTGGTTGCCACAGAGAAGAGATCAGCATCTGTCCCCCCTCTTTCCCTCATGAGGACATTGTAGATTGCAGTTAGGTCTCCCCGCAGTCTCCTCTTCTCCAGGCTGAACAGACCAAGTGACCTCAGCTGCTTCTCATAGGGCTTCCCCTCAAGGCTTTTCTCTGTTGCCCTCCTTTGGACACTCTCTAATAGCTTAATATCTTCCTTATATTGTAGGGCCTAAAACTGCACACACTATTCAAGGTGAGGCCACACGACTGCAGAGTAAAGTGGGATAATCACTGGCGATGCTTTGCCTGATGCCTCCCAGGACCCAGTTGGCTCCCAGGGCACTACTGACTCCTATTCAATTTCCCATCAGCCAGGACCCCCAGTCCCTTTCCACAGCACTGCTTTTCAGCATCTCATTCCCCTGTTTGTCTGTATATCTGGAGTTTCCCCATCCCAGGTGCAGAATCTGGCACTTTCCCTTACTGAACTTCATGTGGTTCATGACTGCCCAGTGCTCTCATTTGTTAGGGTCTCTCTGCAGGGCCTTTCTGCCCTCAAGGAAGTCAACAGCTCCTCCCAGTTTTGTGTCATCTGCAAATTTGCTTCCAGTCCAAGTCATTAATGAAGATGTTAAAGAGCACTGGGCCCAAGATGGAGCCCTGTGGAACCCCACTAGTGACAGGTCACCAATCCGATGTCACCCCATTCACTATTACTCTCTGTGCTCAACTCATGAGCCAATTTTCACTCACCACATGATGTGTTTACCCATCTGTGAGCTGGACATTTTGTCCAGAAGGACACTGTGAGAGGCAGTATCAAAAGCCTTTCTGAAGTCCAAAAAGATTAAATCAACTGGCTTTCCTTGATCAACTAAGTGGGTTACCTTGTCATAAATCAGGTTGGATAAGCAGGACTTTCAGGAAGTTGTGATCAATGACTGCATTGTCTTTCAGGTGTTTCTCAATATCTCCCAGAAAGACTTTACCAGACACTGAAGTGAGACTGACAGGCCTGAAGTTTCCAGGGTCCTCCTTGCCCTTCTTGAAAACTGGTACAATGTTCACCAGCTTCCAGTCAGCTGGGACCTCTCTGGATTCCCAAGACTGCTCAAAAATCATCAGAAGAGGTTTTGCAATGACAGCTAGTTCTTTGAGTCAAAAGTACTCTAACCTGTAAGTGATAAAGATATTTTAATAATTAAGTTATGCCATGAATTTATTATATAACTGGCATATTAAAAATATCCCTCATGGCAAAATTACTTTTTATCCTATATGAACTACTTGACAATTGTTTTGTGCTGCTTTTAAAGATGTTTAATATATTTTTATTATACATTAACAATTAACTGCTGTTGAAAGATAGTTTATGTTTAGCGAAAGAGACAAAACTCAATCTCTTGCTATCTGAGAACCTGAAAAATTAAAGAATATTGCCAAAATATTTAATAATAAGTTTTAAAGACAAACACAATGCACAACACATACGTTCATTCCACTGGTATATTTCATAAGCCCCATCATCGTTTCCCCACAGTGAGAATCTATCAATTGAAAACCATCCCCAGTTGAACAACCTTTAAAAAAAAGTTAACACCACAAAGGCTTTAGCATTGTTAGTTAAAATCAACAGGATTCCCCAAGGAGCTCCTCATTTTAAATAGTAAAGTTCACATATATCTCAAGCAGAAAGGGGGAAAAAAAAGGTATCCTAAAATCTGAAATGCTGAAATGAACTTCTTCCTATGCTATGACATTTGTTCAGCTTTCCCTCATATGAAAAACATACTGACTTCATGACAGCCACTCTAAAAACCTTGAGGCTCGGGGTAAGGCAGGCAGGCAGGCAATGTGGTGACAACTTGGATGACAGAGCTGGCTGCCTAACTTAAAAATTTAAAAAAAACCACTTGGGCAGGTATCCAAAGAAGAAGTAACTGCCAGAAGTTAAAAGTATTATTTCTCTTTACATCCTATTTGCTGAGATTGCTACTCACAACGCTGACATATCAGCAGAAAGGAATTCGTGTTGGGATACAAGCTTCTTCAATTAAAAATTTAGAGGTTTAAACCATAGTTCATTGTAAACTGATGCTCCTTAGAATCAATAATTTAATTTTCTTATAACTAATCATTGTGCTGAGTATGATGCAGCACATTTATCTTACAGAGATGTGCCAAGGGCTTCTGAGGTGAAAGAGCCAATTGGTGAATATCAGTGAAAAATTTCAAGGAAGTTAAGGTGTGTTCTTCTGAAAAGGTGGCATGGCCAACAGATCAGCTGAAGCACCCCTACATCCACACATGCAGCGTGTGCAACAAAAAAGGAGCTGAAAACCACTGTCATGCTGAAAGGCTAACAACTAGTAGCCATTACTGAAAGTTGGTGGGATGAATTTTGTAACTGGAGGGCAGCTATCAATGGCTGCAGGCTGTCCAAAATGGACAGACAAGGAAGGAGGGGCAGAGGGATTACCCAAGAAATGACTGTGAAGGGCTTCCTCTGAAGAGCATCCACAATCAGGTCATAACCTAATGGATGATAATCAGAGACTGAGGCAACAAAGAAAACCTTGTTGGCTAATGTCTACTAAAGGCTACTTAGTGGTGACAAAGCCTTCTTACTCCAGCTACAGGAGGCATCAAACTCACCAGCTCTCATCTTACTGGAGGATTTCAGCCACCCCAAAATGTGCTGGAAAAGAAGCACAGCAATCTGTAGTCAATCAAGGAGACTCCTGGAAGGCATGGAGGATAACTTCTTAAGCCAGGCAATAGACAGCCCTACCAGAAGAGATGTGTTACTGGGCCTCGTGGTCACCAACAGACAAGTGAGCTGATGGGTGTCGTTAAGACTGTAGGCAGTCAGGGCTGCAGTGAAGATGCACTGGTGGCATCAGCAGTCCTGAGGGATATAAGACAGGTAAAGAGTAAAGTCAGGACCCATCCCGAAATTTGGAAAAGGAAACTCCAGCTGCTCAAGGAGTTAATCGGTAGGAACCCCTGGGAAACTGGCAAGGACAAGGGAGCAGAACAGAGCTGGTAGGTCTTTGAGGACACTTTCCTTAGAGCACAACAGCTGTTGATCCCTAGGGATAAAAAATTAGGAAAACAGAGACTGACATAGATGAGTCAGGACCTTCTAGTTAAACTGAAAGGCAAGGATTCACAGACAGCAACAAGTATCCTGGAAATAGTACAGCAATGCTGCCTCGCTGTGTAGGTACGGTGTCAGGATGTCCAAGGTACAGCTGGAGCTGAACTTGACAAGGGACACAAATTAAAACAGAAAGGGTTTCCTTCTACAGGTATGTCAACCAGAAAAGTCAAAGAAAACATACCCTCCAGTGAATAAGGCTGGCAAACTAGTAAAAACAGATGAGAATGAGGCTGAGATATTCAATAATTTTTTGCTACACTCTTCACTGACAATCTCTCTTCCCACACCTCTCCAGCTGGTGAACCTCAAGGCAGGCACTTGTGCAAAGTCCCTTCCACTGTAAGAGAAGATCAGGTTTGTGACCACCTGTGAATATACATAAATCTGATGAGACACATGTTAGACTCCTTAGAGAACTGGCTGATGTAGTTGTCAAGACATTCTCTATGATATTTGGAAAGACATGGAAGTCAGGCGAAGTCTCCAGTGACTAGAAAAAGACACTGTACCCATCTTTGAAAAGGGTAGAAAGAAGGACTCTGGGAACTACAGACCTTTCAGCCTAACCTCTGTGCCCACAATGATCATGGAACAGATCCTCCTAGGAGCTATGCTAAGGCATATGGAGGACAGGGAGGTGATTCGAGACAACCAGCATGCCTTCACCAATGGCAAGTCCTACCTGAACAACTTAGTGGCCTTCTATGATGGAGCAAGTGTATCAGTGGACAAGGGAAGGGATGTCATTTACCTGGATTCTGTTAAGCCTTTGACACAGTTCTCCACAACATTCTTTCTCTAAACTGGAGAGTGATGGGTTTCATGGATGGACTATATTTGGCAGACAAGGAACTGGCTGGATGGCTGCATCCAGAGGGTATTTGTTAATGATTCCATGTCTGAATAGAGATCAGTGATGAGTGATACTGGGATTGCTTAATATCTTCATCAGTGACATCAATAGTGGGATCAAATGCACCCTCAGCAAGTTTACAGATGATATGCAGCTGAGTAGCTCATTTGACACATTTGAGGGACAGGATGCTGTCCAGTGGAGTCTGAACGAGCTTGAAGAGAGTCCATGAGAATGGTGTTCTAAAAGCCAAGTCCTGCATCTGCATGAGGACAACCCCCAGTATCAATAATAGCTGGGGATGAAGGATTTGAGAACAGCCTTGCAGAGAAGGAACTGCAGATACTGGTGCACAAAAAGCACACTGCCATTCTCAAATTAGTAGAGTAAAATCCTACCACTGGGAATATGCGTGCAAATGGCCTAGTAGAAATAAGTTGTGTGAAAAAAGCAGGATTAAAAACCAGCAACAAGAGTTTCATGAAACTCTATGTTTTTCCTTCTTACAAATTTCCTTAGAATAGAGTGTATTTTTCAAGTTACTCGGTGAACAAAATTACATACTGAGTAATTTTTGTGAAGACATATTGAACCGGTGTTCAATACAAAAGCAGTTTATAGTCAGCATTTGTTGCACTGTGGTTATAGTGACTACAAAGCATGTTACGATTCCTTTTTTGTAGATGTTAATTTTAACATTTTGAAGTTATTAATTTTATTTTAGTGTAAATAAATGTCCTAAGTATCTGTTGTTTCCTGCTAATACAGATGTGAAGATCTGTCTCATTTTTACTCAAGCATGAAAGTGACTATGTTCTTCAAGAACACAGAAGGATACTTTTGCAATATAGAGTAAGTTATCTCATTGTCTACTGAAAAAGGAATTCTGAAATGGAGGCAAGTATGCTTTTTCTTATAATATTAATTTTCTCCAGGAAAGGTTTGAAAGAAATGAAAAATTATTTTTTGTTCAGCATGATAAGGCAACTCAAATGTAAGATTCCAGTCAGGCCTTGCAGACCAGATGGCTTTCAATTTTCTGGCAATGGTGTTAATTGGAAGTCAAGATATAAACTTAATCAACTTTAGGCAACTGAGGTTTTTTCTAATCTCAGAAGCAGCTGCAGCCTGGAAGCATCGCAGCATTAGTATTACATCATACAGTACACATTAACAAGGACAAATAAAATTATAAACAATAATCTTAAGTGAATCTTACCTAAGTAAAATAAAACAATGATGACTACTTCAAAGTCACCAAAAATGAAAATTTGGAATTTAATGAATGCCTTACTTCTTCTCTTTCCATTTATGCCACAAAATTTCTAAAAAACACACAAAAAATTGTGACATTGGTTTAGTCACTAGAATTTTAAGCCCCTAGTTCAGCATAAAAAAAAAATTTAAAGTCTCAGATCTCTCCTATAAAGCAAGAAGGTGAGAACTTTATGACTTTCCCTTTCTGGTACACTTTTAATAAGGTATATACATAAAATGTTATTTTTATTAATAAGTTTATGATTTCTCTATTCTTTTCAAACTGAAGGAAAACCAGAAGATCTATCTTCCAGTAAAAATTATGTTATAATATCAGATTAGGAATTGATCATAGAAGAAAGAAAAACTATGAGTGCATTTCAAAAGCTAGAAATAGGTTTTTACAATCAGAAAAAAAATGGCATAATTCCAGGGGTTATTAATTAAAAAAAAAAAAATTGAATAACTACTATCGAGTTTTGCTTTACCTCCTTTTTTATCCTTGAAAGCCTGAAAAACCAGAAAAAATATCCTAGTTTGCTTAGATGGATTATATTCTTTGGTAAACTTTGCACTTTACTGTGGTAATTAATGTGATATGGGACAAATATTTGACATGCTTGCAAAAATGATGAGTACCATTTGAAGATGTATTTAGTTTATCCTCATGCCTAAGATTTTTTCTCCCATATAGTATTTTATATTTTTTTACAATAGCACAAAGAACTCCCCATTCCTAATGGCTCTAAAATAAACACTGAATATACACAATGTAAAGAAGACATTGTTTTTGTAAGCATTAGCAAATATATTCCATATTTCATCCACATGGAGCATTTTCAATGCACATTATCTTATGAAAAACATGAAAAATAATTCAAAAGAGCATTCAGAATGAAAAATAAAAGATGCATATGTATTTTGCTTGGTGAAAATAGAAACATAAGAGAAAGTACCATTAAAAGCTAAAACATTATCTTTTACTTTTTCCCTGCAACTTCCAAGTATTAAGAATAAACCAGTATTTATAAAGAAAAAAAATCAAAGTATGTATCATGTTGCCTGTATATACATCTGTGTCTCTGGCTCTGTGCACATCTTTTCTCTCCCCTCTTTTCTACCCAACAGTGTTAAAAATTCTTGATTAGCATCAAGAAAACATGACTAGACTGTAGGTACTTGGAATACAAATTTTTGACATTTTTGTGAAAACATCTGAGTAGAGATGAAACATTCAGCAAGTGTCCTAATTAAAAAAAAACAAACAAACAAAACCAAAAAACTAAACAAACAAACATAAATAAGCTATATTTTATAAAACATGCAAAGACTACCAAGCCTAAATAAAAATTGAAAAAGCAAACTCATGTTCAATAGGTATGGATGTTTCTTGGAGTTAACTTCAAACAAATACCAGGCTGTAAGAGCACAATCAGCAGTCAAGGGAAGTGCCTAGTTAGCTCTTCTCAGCACTCATGAACCTGGATCTGAAATAAGCTGGACCAAGTACAAGAGGGATAAGGATAAAACATGTCCAGCAGGGGGAAGGCCACCAGTGTGGTCAGAGGCTGGAGCAAATTCAAATAATTCAAAGCATTCAAAGGGGAGGCTGAGGTAGAGGGGCTGTTTTGGCTTGGGGAAGAGAAGGCTCAGGCGTTGGGAAAACTCGTATCAGTCTTCCACAACCTGGAACGTGGTTGCAGAGAAGAGAGAGACTAATTCTTCCCAAGGGTCCACAGTGAAAGATCAAAAGGTAGCAATCATAAATTTCACTGAGGGATAACTCATTGGGCTAAAGGGAGAAATTCTTCCTGAGTGGGTGGTCCAGCACTATAGAGAGATGTTTGTGCAGAGTCTGGGGAATTTTTAAAGTTCCAAATTTCAGAACTCATTGGACATCCAGTAAGGCTAGAAATGCATATTATTTTTGATTTCAGTTTCAAATCATTCATTATTTATCAATGCACTACAACAGGCTACTCAGATTGAAGTGGCACAGGCGGATCTGGATTGGCAACATAAGGTAAATTATTTATAGCTTGAGGGGTTCATGACACCTCTGGTCATCCAGGAAGAGAGCAGCATATAGATGGGTTCATGGTCAAGTGGTGAACTCAACCATGAATGCTATTGCACAGGTTATTCATCAATGTGAAACACATATTGCAATTAAGCCAAGCTTGGAAATGGGGAAAAAAGTAGCATATCTCCATTGCTGGAGGAACTTGTATAGAGCCTGTTACTGTTTATACAGATTTGGGGCTATTATGTGCAAGGAAGGCATATTGAACTACATACTACTATATATTTCAAAAAGGACTTGGATTCTTCTTCCTAGATGGCAACTAAATCTCCAAACTATGGATTATCCTCCAGTTTCTTTGTTTGTTAGGTAGAAGAAACATTAGCTTTCCAGTGTATTTTGGAGTTCTGCTACACAAAAATTGTGCACTAGACACTAATCCACAACAATCAGTTCAGCTTAGGTTAGAAATTTACATTCATCGAAAGGCAACACTGTAAGTCCACCTTGACTGGATACATGCTAGTGAACTGGAACTGAAAGTATTCAATAGTTCTCCAAAAATATTAGGTGTTATTAGGTCTGTCTTAACAATTTCCAGTCCCATAGAATGCGTTAGCAAAAGAAATAAATTGTCAAACTTATCTGTGAAAACTATCTATTTTAGGGTTATAAGGAAGAGAAACTTGATTCCCTCATCTCCTCACTCTGTTCCAGGTACTAAGGGCTATATTGAACTGCTTTTCAGCACTGGACAGAAAAGCTTAAGTCCTTCAGGCTTTATCAAGCATGAAAACAGCATTCCAGCCTGAGCTTTGCCATTTTGGGCTACCACGGACTAACATAAAACAATTCAGTTCTTGTACATATTTTTAATGCGTATCCTTTCCTCTTCTTATTTCCTACTTGTATTCATTGTGTTATGCTAAATTACTCTACAAACTCTGTGAGACAGTGTTGGTCTGTTTACAGTCCATCTGCTACCTAACCAGTACATATGTCAGATTAAGTATAAAATATGTAAATAGTGATTAATTGTATTATATTTTTTCATACAAAACCTGGGTTGGTTGGTTAGTCTATGTGAATGTAGTATCACTTAAAAAGTGTCATTATGCAAACCCTAGACTATTGGCAGAGTTGAAATTAGTCACAACGAAGAATAAGGGTCAGATTCTGACCTCAGAACAGAGAGAACTCTAAAATTGTAGGGAATCATGTTGACATAAATCTAGGGAGTACAGACTGTTTCATTGAGTTTGGACTGAGATCTGACAAAGGAGTAAAATACACTACTTAACAGTCACTATCAAGTATGCTCTTATATACTGTCGTGGTTTTGCTCTGGGTCGATTTGCTTTCACATCTCCCACACAACTACTATTAGTTGAGACAAGGTTTATGCAGACAAAAGAGACTGGATTTGGGGAAAATAATATGAACATTTATTAGTAGTAAAATAAAAACTACTAAAGAACTACATCTATAACAATCCTACTTAAGTAAAAGTGCTATGTATTTACAGAAAATACTTCTCCCCGCTTTTTATCAGTCCAAGGAGGAGAAGCAGCCTCTTTCTCCATTCTCGGAGTTCCAGGTCTCTTCAATAACTCTGCAGCATTCTTGTCGCAGCTGGAACTCTTTCTCTTTCTTTCTTGCTCTGTGTTGGCCTCCAGGGCTGGGCCTACCCTCCTCCTTGGCTAAGACCAGAGGCTGGGAGTTACCCAGGCCCTGAAGGTTTTTCTTCCATGGTCTTGCAAGGGGACACTTGCTTACCATGGATCTTCTTCCATGAGATTACAGGGGATAATGGCTTATGAGTTCATCCCTGTTTTTTGTGGAGGTCCCTCCCCACAGGAGAACAGCCCTTGATAGACCTCTCCGACATGGGTCTAGCATGGATTCCTTACTCGGATCCCAAAATCTTCCCCTAGCCGTTTGCTCTGGCGTAAGGCTCTCTCTCAAGGTCACAAATCTTCAGTAGCAGCATGGATCCCTCACTCGGATCCCAAGCTTACCCAAGCCGTCTGCTCTGATGTAAGCCTCATCCCTTCAGCGTCATAAATCTTCAACAGGACTCTGCCTTATCTGAGTCCTTTTCATGAAGTCTCGGCTTCCTCATGCAACTTACTCTAGTGTAGGCTCCTCCATGAGCAACATGGGGTCTCCTCACCCCAACAAACTCCTACAGGTGGTAGGGATTATTTTTCAGTCTTTTCCCTGTTGAAGGGAGAGAGCGAAAGTGGGGAGAAACAAGTCCCCCTTTGCACTTTTCTTCTCTCTCTTGCAGCTACCAGCTTCAACCTTGGACACTTTGTTATCTCTTTGTTGGAATTTCTTCTGCAGTGTTTGTCATCCAAGCAGTCAGTTCTTCTCTAAAGTGTTTTTTTCTCCACTCCCTTACATGAGAGAAGGGGGGCTTCAGTGCTACACCTGCCTCCCACCCAAGCCGGGGGAGGAGAGGGCCTGGCCCCCACCTGGGACTTGCTGCCTCTCCCACATGGCTGCCTAATTTCAACTGCACAAGCCTTCTCTTCCGTTTTTCTTAAATATATAATTAGCAAAGGCAT